CTCAATTTTAGGCTTTAGGACTCATTCCTGCACCACTGTATCGTGAACCCACATGCAAAGATGTGTATTTTGAACAAGAAATTCTATACAAATACGTGTTTGTTATCAGGTTTTGGTCAGATTATAAGATCCACCCGGGGCAGAGGCTGGGTCTGACGGGGTTGATCATCTCTGCAAGCATTGGATCTGTATAAAAACTCCCATGTCAACATACACACTGCAGTGATTCTCAGAGGATGGAGAGCCTTGTGTATAAAAGAGGGGGGAGAGCAGCATGCGCTCTTCCCAGCATCTCATCATCCTGACCAGGCTCGCACAGCTGCGCCTACACAAAGCCGCGCATAGAGGCATCTCTCTAAATGCCAACGACGCTTTTCCTGTCACAAGAAACGTGCACAGAGCGATGGGAATGAGGGTGTGAGAGTGATCGCTTTTCCACAGAGGCAACAGTGGGTGGATTGAGTGGAGCTGCGTGGCCTGTGTCACCCTGGCCTGTTCCCAGAGCAGAGGGACAGGAAGTGGCGAGGGATCCTGGGAGGATACAAGCCCTCCTCTGTTTTTCTGTATCAAACCACTATCAGATACTTCATTCAAATGGCCAGCAAGCACAGGCCCCTCTGACAGAGAGCTCGGAGGGATATGTCAGAGCGCTTCAGTTCTGCATCCTTATCATTCAACTGCCTTTACTGGGCACAGCCGAGCGGCTTTGTGGCTTCATGTTTGAACATGCATCTACTTTACTCCTGCGGCCACTAATACAGGCGGTAATATAATACAGTAGAATTAACGTGGAAGTGAAACCTAATGGCCGACAAAGTGTACACTGTAAAGAAGACAACAATGACTGACACAGAAGTAGGCCACTGACACATAAAGCTTAAACAGAGAGACAGACAGATGATAAAGCCTGACAGGATGGGAGGAAGAGTAAGAGAACAGGTGGCACTGGCATTCCCATGCTCAACTGTACGCCCTTGAAAGTGGCTGGGCACTAATTAGCACCAAATCTGGGCCAGAGCGACAGAAGTTTAGTATCAGCCACATGAAAAATTCAAAGGCTTTTGTCAGCAGGAAGCCATCACAAATCTCATGCCCCCCTTTCGTGTATACTCCCTCTTTCTCTCCCTCTGGAGTTTATCGCACATCTCGCTGGCAAACTGAAGAGGGGTTGATGCTGGCATTAGACAAGTGTTTTGTTTGTTAAGTACTCCGAAGCCAAAGGGGAATAATGTGTTGTTTCAACAAAGACGAGGCGCGCTGCTACTACTAGCCCCGACTCATGTACAGTCGTGCAGTTTGGGAGCCCTCCTTTTGTTATATTCCTCTGGCCAATAAGCTAGTTCCTCTTTACAGCATCACAACAATTACAATATGTCCTCAGTGCTCAATGCCAATTAATCCTCATCTGACCTAAAGGAAAGTGGGCCACTCACTAGATCAAATGATGAACTCAGCAAACCGCCAGCTAGAGTGGAGTCTGTTTAAAGCAACTGCTCAGTTCACTTCAGAGCTGAGGCAAATACACACATCACTATCAAAATGCTTGGCCGGGATGCTTGAGAAACAGTTTCTCTATAGACCACCACTAAATGGTTCCCTTCCATCTCCCTGAATAGGTGCACAAAGGCAATTTTGAAAGTGGAAGCGACTTGTCTTAAAGCCGCCGATCCTCCAGGGCCGGATAGCTGCAGAAACAAGCAGCTCATTGATGCCAGGCCCAGTGTATCACCCTGACAGACAGACCACTCCAGTATGAGGGGAAACAAAGGGGGCCAAGTCCACAGCCACGTTGCCAATTAGCAGGAATTTCGGCCTCAAGAGCCACTTTCCACCAATCGCGTTGGAGCTGACATAAACATCTACGGCTTTCACTGGAGAGCATTCATGGGATTCCAAGGAGCATTAGGTCCCCTCTGTGGAGCCTGAAATCTGGCAGTTAGAGAGTACAATGGACCATCTCGTACCACTTTGAGAAACACTTTGCACTGGTTGGCTGCATTGCCCAGTGCAGAAATGCTAATAGCCTGGTGACACTGGCAACATATTGGCCCAGTCCCATTTCTGATGGAGCTGGAGCAGAGTTACAAGATCAAGTGGTTGAAATTTTCCCCTATAAAATGGGACTGCCCCTCAAGACCCTGATACATCATCTGTATTGTCACTGATGGCATTCATGTGATGGTATTAATGACACTTGCCATTTATCTGTTGGAGATAGAAAACGTCTTGAGTTTCACACCATCATTTGATGAAACATGGAGTGCTCCAAGGATGGCCGACGCAGAAGTTAGCGTAGCCCTGATTCCCTCAATTAAAAGGCAATGGGATTTTTCCATTAGCTTTTGGTTTATTGCAGAAAATACATTTTGTGGCAAATGTTTTCTTTGGCAAGATAATCTTCACAAATGAACACCACTGTTATGATTTCTGAAGCCTAAATGCAACAGCCAGTAGTGAAAAGCTGACATTAGGCTATTAGCAATCGAACTACACCATCGGTGCATGACTTAACATTCGTTCTACAGCGAGGCTGCAAAGCCATGGTCCACGAGATGATGTTCTGCAGTCTCATTTAGCCACTTGTTAGCAACCACCGTTCTAAAGACACCTAAAGGTTTTAAGATTCACGAATGGGGTATTGACTTCTGTATTTGTTGTAGATCAAAATGTGAAAGTCTCTTGAGCTTGTGTTGACAACAGATCTTATTTCAGGCATCTTACCAAAAAAACATTCGAATAACCCATTGACTTTGAGAGAGAAAACCAAGAGTCCTACAATGCTAACTCATTTGACCTCTCTTGTATAATGGTGGACTATGGGAAAAATGCTTTTTGGACCACAGGGGATTTTTTTGCTGCAATATCGCGAATGGCCACTTGAAACAAAAATTTGCTGCAAGGCTGAGCAGCTTTGCCGAGGGCCTAGATAGAATGGGAAAATGTCAAAATGTGGGAATGTCATGCACAAATCATCAACAAAAATGTCATGTTTGCTAGCTAGCTCATTAGCTATTGAGATGTCAACACAATATTGGCGTTTATTTTTTTGCTTTGTATGTTGTAAAGAAAAGGATCATAACACACTGGTTGACACACAATTTGACGGTCATCGTAATTTTCCAATCTTAATTAACAAAGAGAAAAAACATTGTGTGGCCTTGTGTGTGTGGCTATCTTGCCGATGATTACTTATAACACTCGGTTTAGAGCGTGCCTCTGAAAAAAACTCAATTTGGAGGGCCGTGTAGCCCTTACACTTCGCCCTAACCCTCTATTCCAACAATTATGGCGACACCCAACTCCGTGCAAAATAACGGGGTAAAAGCTAAGTGGTACAGGCAACGGGTGTTTTGGCCTTGAGTCTTGGCTTTACGGTAGGTGGAGTAACTATCATGAACTGTGTATGCCTTTGTGACCATGCTAGATGTGTGAACTGAGCAGAATGTGTGACAGAAACAAACAGCAAGCATAAGTGAGAATCATGCATTCATGCCCTGGGGTGTTTATACGCAACAGGGCTTCATCCCCAGCATCAGTTTGCACGTCATTGGCCTGATACGCAATTTAAGGATATTGAATCCATGAGATGTAATATGTTTGTGCCTGCCTGCTGCCAAACATCCTAATTCCTTCAGGAACATATTAAAATATATATATAAGCACAAGCGAAATCTGTGGAGGATTAGCCTAATGCATGACTGATAATCAAATGCCTACAAATGGCAAATTTATTTCAAGTTGTTTTTTTTTTTTTTAATAAATTGATGCCACAGTGAAACAGGTCTCTGGTGAGATGTTTCAGATTTCACAAAGGATTACAGAGACAGTACAAACAAGCTGCGGGTTTATACACAATATTTAGGTTTTAGGCAGCTCAAAAGCTCCGACACACACTGCAATAGTGGCACAGCAGGTACAACTGTGTGTGTGTGTGTGTGTGTGCCAAGAAAACAAGAGCTGTACAAAGTCAACTGTCACTATAGCAAATGTGTCATAGCGTGACGCACAAATGTCTGAGAGTAAATCAGGGTTCTAGATAGATGGATAGATAGATAGATGACAACAGAGTAAGTTGGCAGATCTGTGTGTTGATCCTGGATCAGCAGTCAGGACTTATGTCTACAGTGCATACAGGCCAATGTCACAATAAAGACACAGACAATATGGACTCAATCTATACGTTCAAGGACACGGCTTACAGTAGCAGACCGTACAATTACTCTGAGGTCTATACAGTCTTTTCTATTATTAGTTGCCACCACATTGGAGTCAATACTTGGGCCTTTGAGTAATGTTGAGTGGGAGAGACTAATCCTAAGCATATGACAGCCGTGTCTTTAAAGTGTGTGGGATCCTGAGGAGAAAGAAAATCTGTGGCGTTCTACATGAACAAGCAAATTTAAGGCAAGACACACAATATGTCTCATTCATCTGCTCCCATCTTCTCACTCACACATAAAAAGTCCAGCAGGTAGCCCGTTAAAAAAACTCTCACTGCAGAGCCACCACAGCTGCCAGCTTTCACTTTGTCTTGTGAAGGCTTCCACCCAGGGAGCCATTTCTCTTAAAACTGAGAAGAAGAGTGCTGTGTGGTTACGCTCCTATATGTTCCCCAAAAGTGCTGCTGCAGAGCAGGGACTGTATGGCTACAGTATGTGGCCTAAATCAAAGGCTGCAGCTTGTGTCTTTACAAAAAAAAAAAGCTCTGATGAGTCACTGTAACTCTCAGACTGCTGTTGTTGCTTTGATTTTGGTGAATGAAAGTGAGGAAATTACAGTGACTTTAATTTACTGATCAAAATTAATCATGTTTGCAAATGTCACTGGTGATAATCTAGGTCATGGAGGTGGAATTGGAGTAAAAAAGAAACATGCAAACAACAGTATTCTGCAGCACAGTTGAGATCAAACCCCTCATTCATTTTTAATTAACCCCTGTCTGCCCTGCCTGTCATTACTCAAGTCACCCGCACTGAAATAACAAGTTTGGGGCCACTCACCCTGACGCGCAGGCTACCAGAGATTTGGCGTCGTCGCTCTTCTGACGATCAGACAGGCGGGTGTCGCATCAAACCATCAATGAACTGATCAGAGGAAGCAAAAAGCTCACAGATCCTAAAATCGGGGTGTTTGGAGGAGCAGCAGCAGCAGCAGCAGCAGCAGAGACAGTCGGTGCCAAGACGAGCGACAGGAAGGCGATGAGGAATCCCATTCAACTGGAGGGACGGCCCGGTGAGGTCATGACGGGGAATGACTCCGAGGCTCAGAAAACATCTTTCAGTCACGCATCAATCGGTCACATGAAGTGGAAATAGCAGGATTCCCGATCACTGATGTGAAGCTGCGGGTTTTCCACACAGTCCGTTTCCGTGCAGGAACACCAAATCAAGACCAAAATACTGGGAGGTGATTTTAGAGGCAGGCAGGGGCGGAGACTCCTGCGGATTGTCGGGCTCTGATTGGTCGGATGCTTTCAGGCACAGTCGAGTCCTCATTTAGGTGAATGGTGTTCCAAGGAAGTCCCTGCTCACCTGAGGGTGCAGGTTCAAACGTGGCTCAGTGTGTGGACTCATTCATATTATCACCTGTGATTTTGTTTGTGCATGAAAATCAGCTTCACATCAGACATGTTGTTTTAAAATGAAAGTAAAATCTTTGTTTCTTGTATTTATAGTGTGACTTATATTGTGAGCTGTCTGCTGTAGCCATCATGCAGACTAATTAAAATTAACTGGACTCTGTGACGGTTAAAAAGAAACATTTTCTACCATATCAAAATCAGAAATCATATATCATAAGCCCCTTTGTACTTTTGTGACACAATGCTGCCACCTGCTGGTCAAATGAGGCAGCGTGCCTTTGAAACCTGGAGCCACATCACTTTCTTGTGCTGCTTTCAGACACCTTCCGCAAGTATTTAACCTTTGAACCCTGAGCTGTTTTGTGCAATGTCCTTCAGAAACATGGGGAAATAAGGCAATGAGCAACTCGTTAAAAAGTGTTCCACAAACTGCAAAAAAAAAAAAAAAAATCATATAATTAGAAAGATCTAGATTTAGATTATTTTTAAAAAGCTGGGGGAAACTATAATTATTGTATATTTGAAATTATATTACAGATTATGATAATGTTCAAGCTCTTTTTCCAGGTCATCTCCTTGTTTGTTTTTAATTTTTCACATTTTATTAAAATTAGAGATGTACCGATATCACTTTTTCCTTCCTGATACTGATTCCGATCCCTGATCCTTAGGTATCTGCCGATACCGAGTACTGATCCGATATCAGCGCGTAAAATAAAAATGGATGGGATATGAATCGTATGTCTCAACTCCTAAAACTCTATGTAAAATATTAAGAAATAAATACATAATAGTAGAATGAATGCCATAAAACTTTTTTAATCATTATTATCCAGTGTTGACACAGATCAAGACACAGGTTAAAGTGCAGCCACACAATCTGGTAAAAAAGACATTTTAAAGGCTACAGCAGAATGCTTTTTAAATGCCGCTCCGTTTCCGTTTGCCTGTAGCGTGTGTATGCGTAATGACGTGAGGCATTACGTGGTATCGGATTGGTCATAGGCTATACTCGCTGATACCCGACACTGCCTAAAATGCAGGCATTTCCGATACTGTATTGGTACAACTCTAATTAAAATCTAAGAATTGGCATCTTACCAGAGGTCAGCAGATGTTAGTCAGTCCTGAAGAGTTATGTTGTAGAGGATGAACGTCACTTTGTGTTCCACTACTCTACATGCATGTATCTGATTTTAGTAATAATCTATTTGAGGTATTTAGTTAAAGAATCAACGGCCGTATTCCCAAAGCTTCCAAGTGCTAAGAGTTGCTCCTAGTGACAAAAGTCTGAAAACATTTTTTTAGAATTGTGACATTTTTCCCCTTAAAGTTAAGATTTGTAAAGATAAAAGTTATTCACAGAGCATCTTAGACCTTAAAAGAGCTCTGAAGTTGAAAAACTGTTCGGAGCAAGGAGGAGGACTTTTAAGAGGCTTAAGAGTTTCTTAATCAGAGGAGAAACACAAAGTGGTCAAAGAAATATTCTCCAAACGCTGGATGACAGTGACTCAATGAAAAGATGCTACAGATTAGATCATGCAGGGATATGTGTGGTCAGTCTTTTTGGGGACACACACACACACATTTCTCACCTAACATTGTAACACTAGAAATAAGCCGATCACAACACTAAGATATTTGGAAAACTGGGAAAATCCATCAGTGCAGCAGTGATGACTTGTGTCTGTCTCAACCTTCCATCAGCAGAGAGATCACACTAACAATGACAACACTTTCACAGTCAGCAGTTCATTTCATTTCCACTGGGTGTTCACAGCTTAAAGGCTAACACAAGGTTTTGTCTTTGACAACCAATCACATCTTACAATATAATGATGAAAACTCTGTCTGTGTGTGTGCCTGTTCCACGTTTTTCTCCTCACTGACTTGGTCAATCCATGTGAAATTTGGCACAGTGGTAGAGGCTCATGGGAGGATGCCAATGAAGCAATATTACATCAATTGGCCAAAGGGGGGCGCTATAGCAACTGATTGAAATTGCAAACTTTGAATGGGCATATCTCATGCCCCGTATGCCATAGAGACATGAAACTTTGCACAGAGATGCCTCTCCTCATGAGGAACACATTTGCCTCAAGAACCCATAACTTCCGGTTATATAGATTTTCCACCATTTTGAATTTTTTGAAAAACACTTCAAATCGATCTCTTCCTAGGAAGTTTGAGCGATCTGCATGAAACTGGGTGAACATAATCTAGGGACCAATATCTAAAGTTCCCTCTTGGCAAAAGTTGGAAAACTTACTAAAACTGAGCTTCTATAAGGCAATGAATATTGCGGAGGGCGTGGCTCATCACATAAAGGTGTATAACATCTCAAGGGTTTCACCCATCACCACGCAACTTTGTAGGCATATGACCACACATAATCTGAGGGGACCCCTCCATTATTGACCCCATCAAACAAAATGGGGGCGCTAGAGAGCTCATTTCTTATCTAGGCCTAACCGCCATATGGATTTTTACTAAACTTGGTAGATATGTAGAACAGGACGCCTCAAGGTGACTGGAGAAATTTAACTCTAATTGGCAACTGGGTGGCGCTATAACAACAGAAAAATGCTTAACAATGGCTAAAATGCGACCGATCGCTGTGGCTCCCCCTGTGGACCAATGTTTGGTTTTTTTTTTCTAATTTTTGGTATGACTAAGTCATGGTATGGTATGCTGTACTCAGTGGGTCTGGTCTAGTCTCTTAAAAGAATGCATCATACTTACTCTGCATTTCAATACCCACACTGCCACACTATATAGTATGCCAGAAAAAAGATTTAGAATGTCCAAATACATAATATGTGAAAAGCACCAGGATCTTCCATTTCATCCGGTCCGATTCTGCAGTATGCAAGCCAGCATGCTTTTCTGGCCATTCTGACCCACAATCCTCTGCACAGCGGATGATACATTATGTCAACTGAGCCACAAATAGATGACAGCTCACTGACAGCTCTCAGAAGTCACAATGACAGATGACTGTGCATTCAAATAAAATAAAATAAAGTAACAATGACAGAGAAATGCAGATGTAATTTCACTGTTGCAAATATAAAATGTTAGAATTTACAATCTGTGTAGTTAAAACTTTAAAGTTAATCTACATGCATTGCAAAGTAACAACAACAGAGCTCTCCGGGTTGATCTCGTCTCTAGAGAACTTGGCGAGTCGCATTTGTTTTATCGTCAAAGTAACGGATATCCGATATTCCGATCTTGGGCTTTTTAAATAAAATTGAATTGAATTGAAAAGGAAGAGGGTCAAAGTTCAGTGCGTAATGTTATGAGACAGTTTATGTGCATACTGCATGCAACAGTACATATTTTATAAGGGCAGCTGCAGTACCTACTGAAGGTAAAAAGAAAAAGTATGTGATTCAAAACACAGAAGGGGGTCAGCCACACCTCCTCACTAAGGCAAAAGTTTCTGTTCCTTCCTTGCTCAGAGCTGCTCTGAGAGCTTTCCTAAATCCCTCCTGGTCTGAGACTTCTTATTAGAACATTTGAGGCTAAGTTAGGAGCTCTCTGAGAGTGTTCTCTGCCCCAGGTTTTTATACTTTTTACAGAGATGTTTTTGTGTGTTCTGGCAAGATTTACAGAACACTGAAGGCAGAAAGGACTTTCTACACCAACTGGTCCAGATTTCACCTTAGTTATTAGTTCAAGGTCCACACAGTTTAAAATATTCAGCATTATACTTGTGTTTGGCCATGTTGATGCGCCAGTTTGCTGTTTCTGTCAAGTGGCTGTCTATTATTCACCCACTCTACAGCAGGAAACGGCACTTCAAAATTAAAGCTCTGTGCTGGAAATTCATTGTACTTCAAAATAAAGTGTTGTTTTCTTTTTTACAAACTTGACACACTCACAAGTCACTTGTGGCCCTTTCAGAGTGGACCCGTGACCCACTTTTTGGACCCTGACCCACTAGTTGGTCAACACAGTATTCTTCAAAACAGGGCACTCATGTAAATTATGTTCTTTTTTTAAAAAAAAAATTATGATGATATGATGATGACTTGTGTTTTGTAAGCTCTCTGTTTGGCACAGGACATTCAAATACACAAATGAATCAGTTAACTATTTTACATAATATTGTGAAATTTAATCCTTATTAACAATCTGTGTTAACTATGAATCTAAACAGAATAAACAGTGTTATTGTAGTTTATTATTTGGTAACAAAAAATGGAAATAAGTACCTCAAAACTTCCCACCACTGATTGCTGTACTGTTTCTGTATGACACCATATAGGCTGTCCCTGGTACTGGGTGTCTGCCAAGTGTGTACTAATGTCTTTCACTGTTTTCATTTTGTTCAATTTTGTCCCCAAACTGCGAAACAATTTCCCTCTGCAGCTTTAAGTTCAAATGAGAAGAGACAATGACACAGACAGATTTCCATTTAAATACACTTTAAGGAGAGAAATAATAATTAGAAACAGCTATGGACTGCGACTGCAGTAATTACAAGCACAATAATAATAATAATAATAATAATAATAATAATAATAATAATATCTCCAAAAAATGTGTCCCAAAAATTGCATATTGAACCTCAAGGAGTAGAAGAAGGACAATTAATACATCATAATTAATATGTGGATATGGGCAGGGATATTAGGGGACATAATTCTCAGTTTGCACAGTCACTCAGGAAATAACCAGTTTATGAAGGGTCATGTTTTAGCATTTGGGACTGAACACACAGAGATCATCTTCCATTAAGTGACACTGGTTCACTCTCCAGAGCACATGAAACCAATAAAACCTCAGAAGAAATCAGATGCAAAAAACTTTACTTACTTACAACATTACTATGTCATTGGATCATAAGTGAGTTGTGATCTTTCGTTATTTCTTTCGTCATATCCTCCTGAGACCCTGTGTCCTCTCATGAGGACGTCACATTTTGGGTTTCCTGCACCTTATACTTCATCTTACTATATAATGACAAAAACTCTGTGTGTCTGTGTGTCTGCTCCACGTTTTTCTCCTCACTGACTTGGTCAATCCATGTGAAATTTGGCACAGTGGTAGAGGGTCATGGGAGGATGCCAATGAAGCAATATTACATCAAAGGGGGGCGCTATAGCAACTGATTGAAATTGCAAACTTTGCATGGGCATATCTCATGCCCCGTATGTCGTAGAGACATGAAACTTTGCACAGAGATGCCTCTCCTCATGAGGAACAAATTTGCCTCAAGAACCTATAACTCCCGGTGATATAGATTTTCCGCCATTTTGAATTTACAATACGGACATTACAAATGTGTGCCAAACAGTAGCTGAGTCTCAGGAGGATATAACATATTGCATGTCTGAATTACAATGTATTTCAATAATACGTTAGTTCATTGTTACACTCAAATACTTTGAGGTTTCTTGTTTTTCTTCCTGTAAATTGGACTTCTGTTTGATATTGTGTGACAAATGTTTGATGCATTTTATCCACAGATAATACAGTTTTGATGGAAACATTTATTTAATACTTATACTAATCCTCTCCTCTTCTTCTCTCTGTCATGTTTATCCAAAAGTACACTGCTACACAGCACGGCTGCATTTCTGGGAAGAAAAATAATTCCTTTTCTTCTCTGTATCTTGTTTATAGAGACCTTATATTCTCTCCTCCTCACCCCTGTTTTCCTCTGAGAGGATCTCTCTCTCACACTCTCCTCTTCAGTCTCATTTGTAGCCTCCCTCCTCTTCTCTTTCTGCCCTACTCCCATTTTCTATGTCCCTCCCTGTCCAACAGTCTCAGTCATCCAAGTCTCTGGCGTCTGACCCTATAGGGAAGAGCATGTCGCTCTCCAAGGAGAGGTTGCTGCCCAGGCCAGCAATGCGGCTCCGCAGCAGGAAGTGTGTCCTCCTCTGCAGCAGCCTCTGCTGCTCCTGCTTCAGCTCCACGTAGGACCGCGAGAAGGTGTGGAAGATGGAGGTGACGGGGAAGGCCATGAGGAGGATCCCGCTCAGGATGCTGCTCAGAGCCACCACCTGGCCTGGGATGCTCCTCGGCACCATGTCCCCATAGCCCACTGTCGTCATGGTGATGACAGCCCACCAGTAGGTAGCAGGGATGCTGGTGAACTCCTGCGTGGTGGCCATTTCATTCTCAATTAAGTACAGCAAGGGGGAGTACAGTGCGATGGCCACACACAGGAAGAGGAGGAGCAGTCCGAACTCCCGTGTGCAGCGGCGTGCTGTCAGGCCCAGAGTCTGCAGGCCCAGGGAGTGGCGAGCAAGCCGCATCACGTACAGGATACGCAGGGCTCTCAGGACGCGCAGCACCAAGCCCACTTTGTCCAAGTAGCTGCTGCCGGAGCCCAGACGCTTCTCCCCTTTGGAGGTGCTGTCCACCACCAGGGTGATGTAGTACGGCAGGATGGCCACCACGTCTATCAGGTTCAGGGGCTGCCGGAGGAAGGCCAGCTTGCTGCGGTCCTGGATGAAGCGCAGGGTGAACTCCAGGGAGAACCAGGCCACGCACACCGTCTCCACTATGAAGATGTTGTAGCACATCTGGGAACATGTGCCCTGGAGAGGAAAGACACACGAGTGAGCAGGTTCATCATCAGCATGTGTGAGTGGTCGCTGTAGTCACTAGAGGGAACCACTTCTATGTGAAATCCAAGAGCTTCGCATGTTGGGAGGCTGCAGCAATAAACACAACGTGCAAAATATTTCTACAACAAACAAAATAAATCAAGCTCACACACACATTTTTAATTATTTGGATAAATATGTTGGCAAGAGAAATATTAGGAGTTTAAATTTTGATTTGATGTGTGATCTGTGCCATAAAGCAGCAACTTTTCATGCTCTTCTTCATCATGCATATTTTAAAGGGACAGTTCACCCCAAAATTTCCCTCTTACCTGTGTTATCAGTCTAGATTGTTTAAGTGTGAGTTGCCAGTGTTGGAGACATTGGCTGCAGAGATGTCTGCCTTCTCTCCAGTATAATGGAACTAGATGGCACTCAGCTCCACAGACCTTGTTGTGAGCAGTTTCACATAGGAACTATTTTCTTTCTATCTTTCTTCAAGCTAGAATTAATGTCAATAAGCCAGCGCGTTCCCAACTACGGTTCAGAGCCAATAAGAAGTCACTGAGAGAGAGAGGTATCATAAAGTAGAGCAGGTCGGCTAATCAACCAAATAATGATAGTCTATACAACTGAGATTTGAGCAACCTCCCACTCTTTCTCCACCTCTTCTCTTTACCCCTCTCTACCTTATCAAAACATTGAAAATTAACGTCACACATGAAAAAATCAAATTAGATAAAGAAAAGAAAAAAACTTTTTTTGTCCATTTGCTTTACTTGTATACGTGACTACCCACCCAGCATGAGATGTAGACATTAACAACATCCTCCTTGGCTTGTAGCTCAGTGGTGCTAGGTGAGCGAGCAATGATGCACTTTCTTCTGAGAGCAGCTGTCAGGTGTAGTTTGGTACAAGGTCTGTGGATTATCTTGAGTAACCAGGTCATGATTACTGGAAAGAGACACTGATGTTGAGTTTTTTAAAGTTGTACTAAAATCTAAAAAAGACCTTCCTGTGCCTCCTGAAAAACACAGAGACCTCCACTTAAAAAAAAACTCCTCTTCTAACCTGCAAGAACATTGAAGTACGTAGCACAAGGTGAAAATGCAGTTAGCCACCTAACATTATCTATGACAATTCTTTAACACAGAAACAGGTCCTGTTTCCCTCTATCATGTAGACAGAATATCGTGGGGAAATTTTCTGCTAGATTATGGTGATATAATTTATCGCCATGTGGCAGCCTCCACTTTCATGCCCCTGAATGCTGTCCACCATTCAGCCCTTAGATTTATAACTGGACACAGCTACAGCACTCATCATCAAAAAGTGGGTTGGCCTTCTCTTTCTATTAGAAGGGACTTTTCATCTGATTTTATTCATTTTTAAAGGACTTCTTCAAAGAGTGCCCTCATATTTGATGTCACTTATTGGCTCGAGAGCTAAAACACATAACACACCTTTGCAGGACTGGTTAGTGCTGCAGGTTTCTAGAACTAACACTGACTTGGGAAAGATTGCTCTTAGATTATTTGCACCATACACCTGGAACGAATAGCTGTGTGCTTCGAAGCTTGATGGATCTAATGGGTTAATTCATAAATCTAGGCAATGTAGGAGGTTATGTTTTCGCCGGCACTGGTCTGTTTGTTTGTTTGTTTGTTTGTCTGCAAAATAACTCAAAAAGTTATGAACGGATTTTGATGAAATTTTCAGGAAAGGTGGAAAATGGGACAAGGAACAGATGATAACATTTTGGTGGTGATCGGTTGAAGCAAAGAGGATAAAATAATAAATAAAGTCTATGGTCTGACAGCAATTAAGATGGTGAAAATGGCGCCATCTGGTGGCCCGGAAAGCATGTCTTGTTCTACTTCCTAAATATTGCTGTAATTCTAAAGTTGAAATTTTGTAATTCTAAAGTTGAAATTAATGTTCTGTGTTGGAAAAAAGAAAGTGAAAAATACAAAACAACATATTATATTCTGTGTTGGTACAAAATAAAAACGAAATAAATACACCATAGTGTCTCCATGGTGAAGGCATATATAACGTAATAATGATAGTGATGCAAATAAACTAATTGTGATGCAGGCTGCAAAATCTGATGCAGAGGGGGAGGGAATATCAGCTACTTGGTGGAGGTCTGCACTCTCTGAGTGCTTTTCTAGTTATTTATGTACTCAGGTCTCTCTTGGAAATGAGATTTCAATGTCAAGAGACTTACCTGACTGAATAAAGGTTTTTATAATATAATTGTTTTTAATGTGTGATGTTAATGTTTGGATGTGATGTGATGTAAATTTAAGGAAGAGAGGGTAGAGACAAAGAGATGGAGAGATGGTCATATTAGTTTTATAGTGTATCGTTATTTGGTTGATTAGCTGACATACTCCACTTCATTAAAAAAAAAAAAAAAAAAAAAACTGACCCACACACCCTAAAAATATACTACAGTAAAATGAAAAGTAATTTGCACTTTGAGTAACTACACTGAGTAACACTACCTTGAGAAGGTTTCTAAAATGGCAATTTTCACTTTTACTTGAGTCATTTTTTACTGGAGTAACTGTACTTTTACTCAAGTATAGTATCACCATCTACGAGGTGATACAGTTGGCGTGTGTAGAACAGTACAAAGAAAAAATCTCCTACATGAAACAGCTCACAACAAGGTCTGTGGATTATCTTGAGTAACCAGGTCATTGCTGTTGAGTTGAGTTTTTTTTTCCATCTAGCCATCTAGTTCCACTGTATTTAAGAGAAGGCAGACATCTCAAACACTTATCAACTCAGAACAAAACACTCTACATAGATAAATAGCACTACAGGTAAGAGGAAAAATGGGGTGAGGGTGAACTGTCACTTTAAGCTTTTTTTTTGGAAAGGCGGGTGTTTTTCTTAGATACAGTAATGATGCTGATTCAATGCGTGGCTGAGAAGGTTCAAAGCATTTCAAAGCACATAGCACACAGCTTTTGAATCTGCTCCATATCAGGGCAAAATATCATTATGAAACACACTCCCACAGAGGAGGAGATGGTTTGAGTAGACCCATACAAGCACCTGCAAACTCCAGTACAGCTCTTCTCACTCAGAGAGAGGAACACTTGCACACATTTAATGCAACACTTTGTTGTCTGGCTGCAAGAAATTAGAGGCTGCGGAGCTGTTAGGATGCGATTACTGGCACTTTTAATTAAAAAAAGCATAATTAAAACATACTGATAATACTGGCGTGTGAATACAAAGTGAGTGTGTCAGGTAGAGTATAGTACAGCAGCTTCATCAGATCGTTAGCAGCCATTTCAGTTCTTTTATTTCATTTTGAATACCTCTTATTTTCCCAGAATGCAAATTGTGAGTTTGTTGGAGTGACTTTGTGACAGAGATGATGTTTAACTCAACATGATATGTAACATACAGAGTCACAGTGTGAGATTAAAGTAGGCCTACTGCATCTGAAACTTGAGTCAGCATCAGCATGAAATGTGGTTCACAGTTACTCCCAAACAAAAACCGTTGAGATTTTGGTTTTGCCCTCCACCCACTGACGCTACCACACATACAGTATCTGCACTTGATTTCCTGGGTATATACAAGAAGTGAAAGCAGAACATTTGAAAACCACAAAAAACATTTGTTTGAAATGGAAAGTAAAGCGGTTGCAGTTCCTCTTAACTTAAATCCAAAGAAGACATTTCTACAAAAGCATCTAAGAGAAATAAATTCATTAAAGGTCCAGTGTGTAAGATTTAAAGGATAATTTCGGTATTTTTCAACCTGGGCTCTATTTCCCCATGTGTATGTGTGCGTATGATTCATAGGTACAACTCGTTTTAAAATTAGTTCAGTATTGAGGATGCAGCTGGCAGCCGCGAAACAAGCTAAAACGGTCTCGCAAGAGCTTTGCTCCACTGTGTCTGCAGCTCTCTCTACTCGTGGGACAGCCGTTTTCTTGAGGAAGAGGCGTTTCGAGATTGGATGTCTTCTCTTCTTCGGCTGGCAGTAGTCATCTTGGGAGAAGTGAGCACTGCAGACCCGATGGTCTGCAAGGTGCAGTGTCTGGACAAGAGTGTTAGCATCCATTTGTAGCACAACTAGCCACAACTTCAGCATCTTGCCGTCCGACGAAGGCAGCCTATGAAAGCTGTACGGGGTGTTGCGCGACATCCTGTTCTTGCAATTCGGATAAGCACAAACACGAACCATTGTTTTCAATCGATGCAGTAAAACTCTCAGCTGTACTCCGGGACAACCAGCGCCACTCTGAGCGGTGCTCAGCATGGCTCCTCTGTTTTCTTCTGGCAACAAGCAAAGCTCTCGCGAGATGACGTCACAGCCCAGAGGTAAGGGAAACGCTTAGTATGCTATTTACAGAGATAGCACTGGCGATCTGAACCAGTCAGTGGGGAAAAAAGCACTTTTAATATGCAAACTTATACGGGAAGCATTTGCCCCTGTTACTGTTTTAGCTCGTTTCGTGGCTCCCGGCTGCATCCACCTCCCTCAATACTGAGCCAATTTTAAAACGAGTTGTACCTATGAATCATACGCACACATACACATGGGGAAATAGGGCCCAGGTTGAAAAATACCAAAGTTATCCTTTAAAGGGACTAAGTGGCATCTGTTGGTGAGGATTGCAGAATGCAACCAGCTGAAATGTCTCCCTGTTAGAATTGAAAGTTATTCAAAAGCATCTTAGACCTTAAAAAAAGCTCCTAAGGTGAAAAACAGTTAGGAGCAGGGAGGAGGACTTTCATTGTGCATAAGAGTTTCTTAATCAGAGGACAAAATGATGGATAGACAAAGAGGTCACACAGTGAGTAAATGAAATGCTACAGATTAGATCATGCAGGGAGAATATGTGTGGCTGATGTCATTAAGGATACACACACATTTCTCACTTAACGCTTTAACATCAGAAATAAAATGATCACACTAAGACATTTGGAAAACTGGAAAAATCCATCAGTGCAGCAGTGATGACTTGGGTCTGTCTCAACCTTCCAACACATTCACAGTCATTTCATTTCCACTGGGTGTCCACACCTTGCAGGCTCATGAAAGGTTGTGTCTGTGACAACCAATCACATCTGTTAAAGAATGCATCGTGCCTGGCAACGGGGTCGACCACAGCTCCTCACTAAAGCCCCGTTTCCACAGTGCAGCACAGTACAGTTCAGTTCGGTATGCTTATTTTCCGTTTCCACTGTGAAAAGTTGTGGATGGTACCGATAGAACTGTTCTGTACCGTCCCCATTTTTGGTTCCCCCTCTGTTTTATTAGTAAACTGTAACTATAAAATAAAGGATGTTTTGCTGCCTCTCACAGCAGCTGGACTCTGAGAAAAAATAACTTCATTCACTTTTAAGGTGGAACGTTTACTTTTAATGTAACTCAATGCATGAGCTGACGATATGAATCCATCAACACACTTCAAATTTAACTGTGACAACTTTGACCATCACTTTAGTTTTTATATGATTTACACTTTCAGTAATGAGCTGATCTCCAAGGGTTCATATTAATTATGGCTCCATAACGTCTCCATTGGTACCATCCACAACTTTTCACAGTGGAAATGGGAAAAAGAGCGTACCAACCTGAACTGTACCACAATGCTCACTGGACTCGTAGTCTTTCAAACGATTTATTAAGCCAGCTTTAATTTAATTATACCAGTAATTACTTAGTAATGAAAAAAACAAACTTTTCATTCCAGGCTTTTCACGAGCCCTCCTCCCTTTGGGGTCCTGGGTAATGAGTCCCACTTTTCTCCCCACTGCGATGCCCCTGCTGCTAGCCAGGCAGCTGCTAATGTGTGCTAACCTTTTTTCTGATTCAGATGTTCACAGTAGGTTTTTACCGGGAGCCGCATTACCCGCAGACGTCTCCTCCTCTTCAAAGCAACTGTTTGCAGTTATTTAAGTCCCTTCTTTAACTTCCCACTTTTATCAAAGAGCCTTTTCTGCTTTTAGCTGAGTTTTAAGTGCATTAAGTCATTAAGTTCATTTCTGTGCACCTTTAAAACAGCAGCTCCCAGTTTAAAAGGCTTGTAAACAATGAATTTATGAGATCTGATGTATATTACATATGCTACATGATTACTGTTTGCTTTGTACTGTTTTGTTTTGTTCTGTCTTGTCTATTTTATATTCTTGAGCTTTTCCTGTCTGATTTTCCCTTGTTGAATGTGTGTTAAATCTAAAAGAATAATATTATATTCCATTTCTGCCAATGTAACCCCCCCTAAATCCTGCACACTGGACCTTTAAAAACCAATTTGCACTTTACTCTGCAAGGAAATAATGTGTGTGGCTCAAATATTCCATTTGGCTTTGATTTGACTAAAGAGGCCAGTGTGCTAATTACGGCTGTGACTGAAGTCACACAGAATAATGAAAGCGCACTGAGACGTCTTCAGATATTTTTCTCTAATCCGGCAAAACAACCTGCTCTCTCAGCGGTCTCCCTTTCCTCGCTGCGAGGAGGTTTTAAATGACATGACAGATGAGACATGCCATCATTAGAATGTTTTAATGACTGCTTTTCATAGTTACTCGTCAATTAACCTCAGTTTAGCTTTTGAATACAGCTCAGACAAAGCCACTCTCACCACAGGGCTCAGATGTTCATTGTTAGTACTCTGGTGTCTCTTTATGACAAATTCCCAGCAGAGAATGAGGTTGTGTTGGGTCATGTCTTCCTTTTTACTTCTCCTCACTGACATGAAAACACGTCTGCTCTGGTATTAATGTGTTTTTGTACACAGTAACTTTTTTGTGGTGTGTTAAATGTCATTACTCACCGCCTCCTCTTCCTCCCTCATGGCAGGCATGGTGCTGATGGATAGGTTGATGGCAGTGATGGTGACAAACAACACTGACAAGCAAGCAAAGATCTTCCCCGGCAGGCCCGAGTGAGGCCTCTCCACCATGTCTCTCAGCTTGCTCATGCACCGATTGAGCTTGGACTCTGCTGCATGCTCCCTGTGGCCACTGTCTGAATCTAACAGATTCTCCAGGAGTTCCTCCTCCTCCTCTGCTCTCTCCATCGCCTCAAACTCCTCCACGCGCTGCAGCAGTCGCCGGCGACAGCACCACTCCAAGCTCTCCTCAGGGACCCCCCAGTAGAGCAGCTCCTCCCTGAAGGACAGGGCGCACATCTCCCTGAGGGACCGCAGCTTCCCCGCACGCAGGTAGGTCAGGATGGTGCGGAAGGCACAGGGGCTGCGGTCGAAGAAGAACTCATTGTGCGTGACATCATAGTCATCGCAGATGCGCATGATCTCATCAAAGCTGCTGCAGAGGTGCAGCTGGCCCAGGCGAGACAGGGGGAAGTCCTCTAGGGTGGTCCAGGGGAGCTGGTAGCGCAGGCCACCCACATTGATGATGGCGTGGAGTTTGCGGGCGCTGGACAGAGGTGTGTCGTCCTGGAGGGAGCTGAGCTCAGGGGCACGCTGCGCCCGGTTGTAGAAGGCCCCCTTTTGAGCCTCCTCCTCATGCAGGGGAGGTGGGTTGAGGGAGGAATCAGAGGCACAGCTCAGGGCACTGTAGTCATAGTCGGAGCCATCGCCCGCCAACAGGGTCATCTTTACTGGTCCACTCACATCACTGGGCTCAGCCTGCCACCATCACTCTGTCACCTGCAGAAGGAAAACAGAGGAGTCTTACAAATCTGGCATAAAGGGCCTTATTGTTTGTAATAAATCAGAGGAAAACATTTTTAAAAATGAATTGAATACAAGAAAGTTTATGACTTTGATTTACTGAGAATCTTCAGTGCAATCCTTTGTGAGTTACAGTAAACTGGAGCAGCACTGACACTTTGTTTTTAACATCATGCCACTGTGCTTTACCACTAAAAGCTTCTACATTGCTCTTACCCGAGGATGAGTAATACCACAATGCAGCATTATTGCAGCAGGAGCCACTTAGATTATTGGCATTTTAATTCTAATGGCCACTTGTCAATATATGAAGGCAGAGCCATGTGTAAACAATTCCTGCCTGCAGAACAACCCACTCACTGAAGAAATGTAACGAAAGCATGAAACCCGTTTGAAATATTCCACCACAAAGACACTTTCTGTAAACTGTAGTGATATTAATGAGGACTGAAGCATTGTGAGCAGTTTATCTTTACAGGTACAGCACAGTTGGCTCGTCTGTTTGTTTACTGTAAAGCAGTTCTTTATGATGTTAACCCAGCCGGCCATTAGGGATTATAAGCAGGGACAAAATGTTCCACCCTCATCCACACCCACCACCACCCACCCTTATCTCTGATACCAACACAGGCAATTTCCACTGGTCTCACTTCAGTTAACTGGCTAGTGTGGGGACTAACATTATCACACATGAACGCAGTTGGTCTCATTAAATCCACATGAAGGGCAGCATTGTGGTGCAGTGGTTAGTGCTGTCGCCTCACAGCAAGATGGTCCCTGGTAGGAACCCAGGGTGGGAGAGCCCTTCTGTGTGGAGTTTGCATGTTCTCCCTGTGTCAGCGTGGGTTTTCTCCACGTACTCCATCTTCCTCCCACAGTCCAAAGACATGCAGGTTAACTGGTGACTCTAAATTGTCCGTAGGTGTGAATGTGAGTGTGAATGGTTGTCTGTCTCTATGTGTTAGCCCTGTGATAGTCTGGTGACCTGTCCAGGGTGAACCCCGCCTCTTGCTACGGTAAGTGTCAGATGGGATAGGCTCCAGCCCCCCCTGCGACCCTTATGTAACTAGTTTTTTTGGTCTTACTCCCTCCTGACTTAAGCCGTTTGTTTACTTTCCTCACTTCTGTTTCTCCTCTCGTTTGCTGAGCATAACTGCCAGTCAGAGTGGTTTTATTCACCGATGGACTCCGCCATCACTGACGTTGATTCAACATGTGAATCGGCCAAAAATGCAATGACGAGGGAGCCAATTAGAGGCCGCACTAACTAAGACGACAGATGCTCACCATTGATCGAAGGCCAACCGACGGCTTGGTGTGTCAGGGCCTTAAAAGCACTTTGAGTCCATTTACTGTATTGTCAGTGACACAAGTCAGTAAAGAAATTTGCTAACTCTAGTGTAAATCCTGTGACTCGAGTCCACAGACAACAGTGAAAGGAATAGTCTGACATTTTGCTTTCCTGCTCAGAGTTTGATAAGAACATTGATACCATTCTTGAACATGACAGAGGCATCGATCTTCTCATCTCACTCTTGACAAAAAAGCAATTAAACATACTCCCCAAAATGTCAAACTATTACTCTTGGGCAAACCTGACAAGGAGAACCACACACTCACAAAAACTACAACACCATTTCTCAAAGGACAACAGAAGGGTGCTGCAAAGGAGAATGTTTGTCTTATGATTGAGACAGCACATCAATATTATCTATATCACTCTCATGAGAGCACCAACTGAAAATTGAATTAAACCTCTATACCTTCACCCACAAAGTGCATCACAAAACAACATGTCTGTGCCATTATCTAAGCAGTATGAGTATTTCAGTCGAGCATCATTAAACATGATCACTGATCTGGATACAACATGCACCGAGGGGTAACAATTTCACTCCCAACTGTGTGCGTGAACATCTGTTACCCACAGCAGCCTGGGAATTATAAATGATGGCCTGATGTTACACTGGCTGTTGTTAGATAATTCACTGATGTAACGACTTTGTGCAGCCGCTGAACAAGCTATATTTAAACACTAAAATATCTGTCTGTGTGTGTTCTCTATATCTCTTTCCGCAGCTAGACTGGGTGGCTTTCAGACAGGTGTTGTCTGAGGTGTGTGTTCTGACTTCACGCCAATATTTGTACATATATATTGAGATCTTTTCAGGCAAAACCAGACAGACAGATCAACAGAGAGATAGAAAGAACAGTATATTAAAACAGGAGAGAGAAGGAAAAAGAAAATGTTTACTGTACGTCACCAGTGCAGTGAGGACCTTGTGGCCTGTGTCCAAACTAATTTAATCAATTACAGTAATTTAGGGGGAGGCAGGTTAGCCAGCCGGGAATTAAAATGTCAGCGCCTGGATTTGCTGCACCACCAATTCTGGGTCAGGAAGGAGGCCTCGGCTTCTAAAACGGGGACGTGAATGTGTCACTGAATGGTTATTAGGCACCTGCACTGTCAGCCTCTGTGAGCCACTGATTACAGTCAGCACCATCCTCCACCCATGAAATTAGAGCAAATCCAACACGAGCTCTGCTCTTAAACACTCTGCCTGGTTGTATTAACCTATTTTGCTTCTTGATGGTGTTTCGTTTTGGGTATTATATGATATTTCACACGTGAAAATAGGTCATCACATCTAGAGAAATCATAGAGATCTTTAATGGGTCCTTACATCTGCACATTTTCTATATCTTCTATCACATCAACACTCATGCTGTGCAACAAAACCAAAACAAGAATGAAAATCATCTCTCAAAACAGTAAATCCCTCCTTTTTGCTGCTACACATCTGTAAATTCTCACATTCTCCCTCCGTGTGGCAGAGGTTATCGATACGCCTACAACACATCACCAGTGTGGATGTGCACAGGCCTCCGCCACTCTCCTACTAGATTAAATCACACTTAACCCCTTGAGGCTGTTTGATTTCTCACTTTGCCTTTAAACCGACAGTGCTTTTGCCTTTCTACAGTCACAGGAGAGTTTTTTTTTTTTTTTTTAAACTCTTGGGTTTTTTTTTTTCTCTTCTTGTGTTGTGCCTCAGATGTCTCCTCTGGGGGACGAAGTCTATCTAGGAAGGAGAGATGAAACACTGCAAAGACAGTGAAGCCTGTTCCCCCCACCAGATCGGCTGAGGTCTGGCCTCTCTCTGTGCCAGCGTTATCACAGCTAAGCCACAGGGCATGTTCTCCAGATTGCCTGGTGAGTCACCGGGTTGTGAGTCTCTGTTGCCTGACTGCATTGAGCATGCATTACCCACAGTGCCCTCCTCAAGAGTCTTTGGAGAGCTTTGCCGTCGCCAGTGTTCATTGAGACGATTTTAATGAGCATAATAATGATAGCGATCACTGCGAGGTCGAAGCGTAGCTGATCTTCAAAGAATTCTGAAGCCTTTAACAAGTCGGAGTTCAGTCTGTAGAGAAATGTGTGCAACCTTCCTGTTCAGCGTGGAGGGTCCTGACTGATGTAAATCTATCTCAAATTAACACGTGCGGAGTATGTATCCTGCAAAGAGACACGAATAGCTCATCTACTAATGATTACTATTTATGGCTGCATATCTCCACATTGGTGGATGTGACGTGTCATTTGCAAAGAGTCACAATCAGACAGATTTTTCCAATCTGTCTCTGAATCAAGGATTTGCAATTCAACTCAACCCAGTCTGTGAAACACAAACACATGGTAATAAAATGGGTGATCAGTATTTCTGATGAAAATTGGAACCTCAGAGACGTACAATTAAAGTTAAATATAATTTAACAGCTGTTTGCCTTCCAGTGACAGCTGCTCACACTGCAGTCTTATTTTGCTTTTGTTTTTTGCACACAGCCTAACAACCTTTCTTATTGGCATAGCAGTGATGTAACATTGTAAAACAAAGCTCTTAATCAAGATGTTTCCTAATGACGGATGTCATCATGCACTCTTTCTCTCAGGCTAAATAATCATTCAGCTCACACTACGTCTCTTTTTTTCCCCCACAGATTGTGTATAAAAACAGCTCCCCAAAAGGGAAGCCAAAACATTTTGATTGCCCCCTGGTGGCTGGCTGCAGTATAGGTCATAAACCCCGCCCCCTACATGTTAGTTGAGGGGACATGGGCCAAACTAAAAACTAGTTTTCCATCGGTGAATGAAATCACTCTGGCAGTTAGCTCAGCAAACGAGAAGAGAAACAGAAGTGAGGAACGTAAACAAACAGCTTAAGTCAGGAGGGAGTAAGACCAAAAGCTTGTTACATAGGGGTTGCAGGGGGGCTATCCCAGCTGACATTTGGACAGGTCACCAGACTATCACAGGGCTGACACTTAGAGACTGAAGTACTAGTCAAATTTTTCCCAGACTGGTTTCTGTCATTCTGAGTATTTCTTATCATGCTGATGTTTGGTCAAGTGTTTGTTTTTTGTGATATGTTTAGTTTTATTCAGGTTTTTGATGCTATAAAAGGGGGTCGACAGCTGTTTGTGCCAATTGGTGTGCTCATGATCAATGGCGCTACTTGCTATTGGTCAGAGGGGTATATAGGCTGGAGCTTGATACTGTGGAGATCTCTATTTGGCACAAATTTGCATTTTCTTGGATAGCAAGGGCATGACTGGCCCTACTCTGCCTTACTCTGCCTCTGATTGGCTTACCCTGATATTCTTACCCCTAACCCCAACCAATCCAGCCTGTTCTCAATCGCAACTTCTCAAACACCACCTCTTTGCCACTGATGTCAGCGTCAAACACCAACATACAGGCAACTTTGGAGGCGGTTTGATATGCACCAGGCGCATCAATTTTAGAGGTGGCAGGCAAAAACCCAATTAATCAAATACTGTTGCTTCTTCAGTGAACGTCAGCGTCAGTCATGGATGCACAGAGGCAACCTTCTCAGCGGTACAATATGCACCGGGTGGCGACGGGTTGTAATGCTGCCGCCAATTACTGCAATATAAAGTGCATGACAGTCTGTCTGGGGAGGGTGGGTTGGGTGGTGGATGGCAAAAATGAAGTCTGGGCTTTCACGCTGGAGCCCCCTGTTTGTTTCCTGCGTGAATTTTAAGCCAAACCATGTTTTTTTCTAACAGCACGGTGGTGCAGTGGTAAAGTGAGGCGTTATCACCTCACAGTAAGAGGGTTCCTTGTTCAAACCCAGGGTGGGTGAGCTCTTCTGTGTGGCATTTGCATGTTCTCCCTATGTCAGAGTGGGTTTTCTCCAGGTACTCCAGCTTCCTCCACAGTCCAAAGACATGCAGGTTAATTGGTGACTCTAAATTGTCCGTAGGTGTGAATGTGAGTGTGAATGATTGTCTGTCTCTATGTGTCAGCCCTGTGATAGTCTGGTGACCTGTCCAGGGTGTACCCTGCCTTTCGTCCAATGTCAGATGGGATAGGCTCCACCCCCCATGCGACACTTATGTAATATGTTTTTTTTGGTCCTACTCACTCCTGACTTAAGCTGTTTGTTTACTTTCCTCACTTTTGTTTCTCCTCTGGTTTGCTGAGCTTAACTGCCAGTCAGAGTGTTTTCATTCACCGATGGACTCTGCCAGTAGACTCTCCGCCTCTCGCCCAATGTCAGATGGGATAGGCTCTCACCCCCCGTCCCCCAATACATGTAACATGCAATTTGACACGCCAACCTTGAACGTCAAAAAACAGATGCAGATACCTACATGTTATATATGACGTGTACATCCATTGACAAAGTGATGGTACTTGACAACATGCTGACCAATCTCACGTCTGTTGCCTAAACCTTATCAACCCAACTAACGAAGGCAACAAGCACTAGCCAGTCAGAAGGGAGCGTAGGGTCAGTCATGCCTTCACTATCATAGGAAATGTGAGTTCGCCTTGTGCATAGATGCAGAAGAAGGCTCCAAATGATGTTGCCGGTGCAAGATGACAGCCGCCATATCTGGGATAATTTGGCATCGTTGTTGTACATTGGGAGTAAGTGGAGATGCATTGTTTTTACAGTCTTTGGTTCTTCATAATGAGCAATTCTCCTCATGTACCCTTAACTGCTCAGTGCTCACTAATGGACTATAAGAGGGTGGTTATTCCAGAAATGGACTTGAAAACACCACGACCCAGCTTTCTCTCCCTCTCTCTGTCTGAAATCCGTTGAAACACTGAAACACTCAGGCATGCCAGAAGCACTTCTACCCCAGAAGCCCTTTCCTTACAGAAATTCCAGCAGGAATAGTTGTAAACAAAAATGTCTCTTTTTTCTTGTGAGTGGGCGGCATTAATGCAAACTGAAAACCCTGGAAGAAGCTATAGCTCCAGGGCAGTAAATGTCTCCCTAACTCTCGATGTGGTCCACCACAATGTGCTGCTCTCTGCTTCTGAGGTGCAGAGAAGTATGCTGTGTAGACAATACACTTTAATAATGAGCTGTTTATGTTGTCTTCTGTTAACCGTTCAATTTCAAATGCAGCCCACATGTGCCTTTAAAAGTGCAGCAGAACTAATGCGTCTCTCCTTTTTTTTTTAAAGCTTTGAGATCATATTCTAAATGCTGAAAAGGTACTAACCTTTTGAAATGCCACTCAAATGTTTTTTGTCTTCTCCCTCTTTGAGAGAAATGCCTCCCCAACAAAGAGCAAATGAGAAGCATCACACCTCTGTCATTTTCTGTCTACAGTTTGTTTCCCAGCCTGTCCCCAGTCTGTCCTTCCTCTTAGAGCACTCCATCCCCCAGACAGGCTCTGAGCCGACCCACCAAATCCCCACATTTCTGCATCACCGCTCAACATTATGCCACAGCACTCCTCATCCTCTTCGCTCTAACAAACTGTGACATACAATATTTAATCAGCTTGCAAAACATCTCACCATCACCTCAACTACACATACACACTCACATTCACAGTTTTTTTATTCCTTTTTTTATCCCAGGCATTCTTCTAGCCTGATAGGATGATTGTACACTCAACATATGTGAGCGCTCAACTAACTTGATTATATAAAGATTGCATAACATTAAGTTCCCCGCATTGTCTGTGTGAATCAACCAATTCTCACTTTTCATCTTTTGATGTCCTTTTCATTCCGAGCTGCAATCATCTGACCATCTAATCGCTCTGGGCTATGTAAACAATTTCCTTTTCACAGGCAGCTGTTATAAGTGGCGCTGAGGCCGGGTATGTGTGCGGGCAGGCACAGCTTCATACCGGTGGAGACCTGACTGTTTCTGTCACTCTGAACTGAGCGTTTCGAAGGATCTCAGCGCAGGTCCCTGCAGGATGAGGTGACAGAAGGTACAAGCAACGACAGATCAAAGAGAGGTGATGGAAAACTCTTAACACTATCAAGCTGTGAGTGAAAAAGTACTTTAGTTGATGAAATGGAATGAATTGACCAGACAAACAGCCACACAGGGCTTTCGTTCTTGTTGGGTTGATGGATAAGAAGTGAGCTTACATGAAGAAATAAGATACATCGTTTGATGGGCAGTATTTAAAGGGACGATGTGAGGACAGCAGATTGCATTTAGCTGAAACTTCCCCCACGTTTCAAACATAAACTCCTGGTTAGCTTTCCTTCAGTGTTCATTGTTAAGGAGGTTTTTACTGGGAGCTGAATTATACACAGAGGTCTCCTCTGCTCCAAAACAAACAGAGCAGGGGCAGACCAAACTTTGACCCATGCTTACGATCATTTTGAAGACAGGAAATTGGTGATGCAGATGTTGAGGTGGAAGCCTGATTGTAGGAACTGTTGAGTATTTTTTGCCGCACACCATTTTTGGCTTTTGTCTGTACGTACATTTTTTGCCTGGAACCTACACATTGTTTCATAAATGAGCCCCCGGATGAATAAAAATTGGTAAAAGCACTGAATAAAGCAGTTTCACGTTACAAAACAGTGTCTCTCCGATGCCCTTCAGCTTGTCGCAGAAAGGCGGCTATCCCAGCACCTGCTTATATGTGCTCACCTTTTGTCTAAGATAACTGAAGACCCAGACGTTCAGGAGGTTTTTACCAGGAGCCGCATTGTCTGCAAAGGTCTCTTCCTCTCCAAAAGAAATGGAGCTAGTGATTCAAACTGCTAAAAATACCGAATTGAGCAGTTTCATATTAAAAATCGATGTTTTTCCAATGCTGTTCAGCTCATTGCGTAAAGGCCGCTAGCCCAGGTTCTCTTAATATGTGCTCACCTTTTTCTCTGACATCTTAAGATCCAGATGTTCAAGAGGTTTTTACTAGGAGCCGAATTATCCTCAGAGGTCTCTTTCACTCCAGAACAAACAGACCTGGTGATTTGTACTGCTAAAAACCACTGAATAAAGCAGTTTCATATTAAAAATCAATGCTTTTCTAATGCAGTTTGGCTCGTCGAGCAGGGGCTGCTATATACGGTTACCTTTGTAAAAACACCAATGGCTCTATCTAGAGCAAGGGTTTGGTTTGTCCGTTCTGGGCTACTGTAGAAACACGGTGGTGCAATGTGGTGATCTCTTTGGCAGGGACTTGCTCCCTATGTAAAAATAAACGTCTCATACTAAGGTAACAAAAACACAATAATTCCTTTTTTCATGTGATTTAAAAAAAAATGAAAACATACTTATTATATTATGTTTCATTCCTGCCAATATATCCCACTAAATCCTACACACTGGAACTTTAAAATGTTTGCGTTTGAGTGCAGAAAATTATAACTTTCCTGTCACATGATACAACTGGAACTGGAATTTGGTGTGGATTGGTAAAAATCTGTAGCTCAGACTGGATATGAGAGAAGCAATCTTGGTGAAACATGGACCAGCCTCCAACGTCTTTCCAAAAAGCTGTGATTGCAGAAAGAGAAAAGAACTTTATCCTACTTACACTTTCAAAGCACATCCATCACTCGATTTGTGTTGAGTCTGACGCCTGAGTGAAGATCTTTTTGTGTAACCACCTGTGCTCCTGGGAAATACAGTTGCTGGTGGGGCTGTGGCTCTTCGATCCGCTCTAATGACACTTCAGGATATGTATCTCAGATACCTTACATATAGACACATGGAAATGGCAGATTATAATTAGTTTGCGGGCCCGTCTTTGTGGGGGAGAATCAGACTATTAGCTATTAGAACGGGAAAAAGTCATTAGTTCATCTCATTAGAGTCACAATTACCTGGAGGAGGGAGAGAGGATGATCTATTACGTATCATATATCACTGATCCAAAGTCTGAGAAAGGCATATGCGTGGTGGACTCATAATCACATCATGGGGCATAATCTAACATCATCCTCAAAGTGAGACCATGTGCTGTATTGCAGATGATCTCTTTATGCGTTCACTAAATTATAACATCAGCCATGATTCAGTGTTTGAGGACTTGAAGTGGCTCTCACATTCAAAAGTTTCTCTTGCATCAATTTTCATTTTAAAATTATGATTTTTTTTTAAAGTGGCTGCCAATTTCAAATGCCTCTGCAAACACACAGAGAGCGTCGTTTAGAGAATGTCTCTCTACAGCAGTGAACCTTGTCTCTGTCTGATATCAGTAAATGTTGACAGATAATAACATGCTGTAATGTAGCTGCAGCCGTGTTACCATGGTGTAGCGCAGGCAATCCAGCATGCAAATCACTGTCATGTGTTAAAGACATTTTTTTAAATGGGTCAAAAGATCTAAAATAAAATAAGATGCCTGTTTATCAAAAGTGGAGTCTGGAGGATATATAAATATAAATCTTACTGTATTCAAGCATTGATAATAATAATAAACTGGCTTTGGAAAGCAGGGCACTGCATACTTGCACAGGTCTGATTTTCTTTTTTGAAAAGTGAGAACAAAACCACAGGATGACTTCTACAATAACCCTCAATAAGTAAATATATTATCCTGATATCAACCCCTGGGAAATCTGATGCAAAAAATATCAGTCAGCTCTGCCATTTCCAACTTCTTACTGCGAAGACAAACACTGTGCTGCATGTGACAAACTCTCAAAGTGTGACTTACAACTGAGAGAGTGTGTCTTAACCTACAATGGACGTATAGTAAAGACTTTGAATGCATCAATACTGTAAATTAAATATGAAAAATACTCACTGTGTGTCTGAATCAGATTCCCAGCAGCTGTCAGTTTGCCGAAGGCGCTCAGAAGAATGCACATGAAGGAAAAAATATGGAATGTGTTTTTGAGCTTCTGCTGCTTCTGCCTCGTTTAACTCTGCTCCATCTATGCACAAGCACCAGGCTTGGTGGAGTACGAGGAGGTTATTTGATGATCATGAGCAACAGGCTGCCTCCCCTCCCCTCTCTTCCCCCCCCCTTCTTCCCTTCCCTTTGCCCTCGTCTCTCCCTCTCTCTCTCTCTCAACTCTTTCCTCCCCCCCTCTTCCACCAGCGCTGACATCAGAAGTGGGTGTGCCATTATACAAAAAGGTTTTGAGAGAAATCCATGGCAACCACCATCTAGAGAGCCGCGCTGCCCCTCCATCCTTTAAATGAGAATAATCCCCATCTTTTGATTATAGATTCACACAAAGGTTTTTATTTGTCCGGTGGGTTACCCGGCTGAGGGGGAGGGAGAGGAGGAGAGGAGAGGAGGGGAGAGGAAGGGAGGGCCGCTGTAGGCTGGCTCAGACTCACCAGGGTGTCCAATTTTAGACAAGTGGTGGGAAATGCTATCATGAGGTATGATGATAAGGAGGGATGGCTCATACAGAGAATGTTTATCTCCAGCAGAGCAAATGCTGCCTTTATTATTTTTTTCTTATGTTTTGTTCCCAGTGGCCATTGAAGGGATGTCTGGTGTTTAGATGATATGGCAGATGATGGTGTTCACATTACATACAATAAGATAGTCATAATGTTTGAAGCAAGTGAGGAAATGTAATGGAAAAGAGAAAACAATACAAAAAATTGTCAGTATGTATGCATGGTAAAACATATCTGTTTCAGTATGTGTTTCACGTCTGCATTTTGTCTGCTGACCATTAGCTGAAAACTGTGTTGGGGTCTGTTATGCCTTTATTGATCTACCTGTCTTGAACTGAATGGAAACTGCAAAAGTAAACACAATTGACAGGTCAATCTCAGTGTATTACGTTCACTTCAGTGCTATTACGACTCAAAATGGTGAAGGAAAAAAAAACCTAAATGTGCATCATGTTTTTGGTGCGGGTCCAATTTTCCTCCCCAGCCTGCTGTGTATGAGTACAGTGTTTAAAAAATGATTACTGTTTTATGGCTGTGGACCGAGCGCTGTGTTTTCAGAAGAGATATATTGTAAAGGAAGGGAGGCATGTAATTCCTGTGAGCTATTATGTCTCCAGAGCGGAGTTGTTTTCTAGCTGAGTGACCGAGGCTACTGAGGATAATGATACAAACCGAGAATGACAATACAAACCAACGCAACATTTCATAAGAGCAAAACAGAGATAGAAGTCACTGCAGCACACAATCATCAATGACCCTGCCATAAGGGAGTTTGAATTCTTAAATACTGTTGTCAAAGCAAACAAACAAAGTTAAATGATTATCATCTGCATGCACCGTTGCATTCATCTGGCTGCTTGTCCATTTTGTTTTGACTGAGCTTACGCAGCACACAGTCAGGCCACAGGGGCAAACCAGAACGCTGTATGATATATGATCATGTCCCAAGATATCCAGACTGACAAGCACCACAATATTCCAGACATCCTAATGTGCTGTAATGCAAAAGTGAAATACAAAGAATGACGAAACTGGAATTTCCTAAAATTGGATTTAAATCAACAGGACTGAGAGTCTACAGCAGAGGTGGCCAAACTATGGCCTGTGGGCCACCTGTAGACTGCTGCCTGTTTTTAAATGGTCAGCAGCAAATTTTTAAGAATAAATTAGAATAATCAAATTAGTACGATCAGTCGCATTTTAGCCATTTTTAAGCATTTTTCTGTTGTTATAGCGCCACCCAGTTGCCAATTAGAGTTAAATTTCTCCAGTCACCTTGAGGCGTCCTGTTCTACATATCTACCAAGTTTAGTAAAAATCCATATGGCGGTTAGGCCTAGATAAGAAATTAGCTCTCTAGCGCCCCCATTTTGTTTGATGGGGTCAATAATGGAGGGGTCCCCTCAGATTATGTGTGGTCATATGCCTACAAAGTTGCGTGGTGATCAGTGAAACCCTTGAGATGTTATACACCTTTATGTGATGAGCCACGCCCTCCGCAATATTCATTGCCTTATAGAAGCTCAGTTTTAGTAAGTTTTCCAACTTTTGTGTTTTTCAAAAAATTCAAAATGGCGGAAAATCTCTATAACCAGAAGTTATGGGTTCTTGAGGCAAATGTGTTCCTCATGAGGAGAGGCATCTCTGTGCAAAGTTTCATGTCTCTACGACATACGGGGCATGAGATATGCCCATTCAAAGTGTGCGATTTCAATCGGTTGCTATAGCGCCCCCCCTTTGGCCAATTGATGTAATATTACTTCATTCACATCCTCCCATGACCCTCTACCACTGTGCCAAATTTCACATGGGTTGACCAAGTCAGTGAGGAGAAAAACTTGGAACAGAGACACACACACACACAGAGTTTTCCTCATTATATAGTAAAGATACTGATAAAGGACTCCAAGATGGCTCCTATTCAATCCAGTGGAATGGCTTGCATGGCACATACACGAAAAAAAAAGTGCTTCTCAAAGTCAAGGATACTTATTTGGTACAAAGGGTCCTTCCAAGTCGGGTCCTACAAAGGCCAGGCAAGACTCCTTCCTAACATTCGGTGAGCACACATTGGAACAGGCTAGCGAGTGCCCAGGTGTGCCTCATCGAAGAGGCCCCGCCTTCAATTCCAGCAAAATGTACTTAAAGAATTGTGGGCACTGCATGCAGGATTCAATGACTTGGCCCTCTGAAATTCAGTAGTTTAATGATCCTTCCTTGACTCTGAGAGGCACCAAAAGTTTCTAGCTTCTGGGTTTACCTCTGCGGTATGCAGCCCACTGAGTTTGCGCAGTAGTGTTTCTTCCACTGGCCCAGCCCACAAGTTCCTGCTCTGCTCATAGACTTTCCATGGTCATGACATCACCAATTTATAAATCGTTTTTTGGCTCCAGGAAAGTTAAACTTTTATGGATAAAAATTCCTCACAGAACGAGTAATAACTGATCTTGTTTGCAGTTCAAAGTGTCCTGTCAACAGTTTTCCAGACATCTCTTTTGTTAGGTGGTCTGTGGGGAGAATGCTTTTTGGGCTACAGGGGATTTTTCGTCTGCAATACCGCGAGTGGCCACTGGGAAAAACTGGCTGCAAGGCTGAGCTGCATTCCTGGGGGCCTGATTACAAGTCAATAAAAACATTTACCTCAGTGAACATGGCGGCGAATACAAAAAGATCGAAGATAGAGAAATGCTTTTTGTGACATGCGGGCACACTAATAAACTACTGTAATGTCAGATGTTCAATGTGATGACATTCTGTAGTCTCATTTAGCCACTTGTTAGCAACCAACTTTTTTAAGACACATAAAAGTTTAGTTTTTGGGTGGGGTATTTCTTGATGTACAGTACAGGCCAAAAGTTTGGACACACCTTCTTATTCAATGCATTTTCTTTATTTTCATGACTATTTACATTGTAGATTCTCACTGAAGGCATCAAAACTATGAATGAACACATGTGGAGTTATGTACTTAACAAAAAAAGGTGAAATAACTGAAAACATGTTTTATATTCTAGTTTCTTCAAAATAGCCACCCTTTGCTCTGATTACTGCTTTGCACACTCTTGGCATTCTCTCCATGAGCTTCAAGAGGTAGTCACCTGAAATGGTTTCCACTTCACAGGTGTGCCTTATCAGGGTTAATTAGTGGAATTTCTTGCTTTATCAATGGGGTTGGGACCATCAGTTGTGTTGTGCAGAAGTCAGGTTAATACACAGCCGACAGCCCTATTGGACAACTGTTAAAATTCATATTATGGCAAGAACCAATCAGCTAACTAAAGAAAAACGAGTGGCCATCATTACTTTAAGAAATGAAGGTCAGTCAGTCCGGAA